GCGCGTGCCTGTAATCCCAGTTACTCAGGAAGCTGAGGCAGGAGAATTGCCTGAACCCAGGAGGCGGAGGTTGCGGCGAGCCGAGATCGCGCCATTGCACTCCAGTCTGGGTAACGAGCGAAACTCCTTCCCAAAAAAAAAAAAAAAAAGAATATCCTATTGTTCTTATAATATATATAAAGTTAGTTTTCATGGGCAATTAAAACATTGGGTTTGCCACTTTACAATCAGTACAGAACAGGCCTTACAGCCATCCTGTCTCACTTGGGAGGCCTTGCAGAATAGAAACATATGTTCCAATCTCTCATGCAAGGAACCCACCCAAGAATCCTGCTTTCTTATCTGAATCTCTTGTTGGTCCTCAACCATCTTCTCTGTTACGCCTCTTGCTAAAAATATTTTTTGAGACAGAGTCTTGCACTGTTGCTTGGGCTGGAGTGCAATGGTGCAATCTTGGCTCACTGCAACACCTCTGCCTCCTGGGTCCACATGATTCTCCTGCCTCAGCCTCTCGAGTAGCTGGTATTACACGTGCATACCACCATACCCAGCTAATTTTTTGTATTTTTAGTACAGCCAGTGTTTCACTATGTTGGCCATACTGGTCTCGAACTCCTGACCTCATAATATGCCCGCCTTGGCCTCCCAAAGTGCCAGCATTCCAGGCGTGAGCCACTGCGCCTGGCTGAAAATTTTAGTTTTTAAGGAAGTATTGTATGAGCATAGTTGAGATTAAATTCTACTGGGAAAACATGTATTTTCTTAAAGTTTTCAATAAGGTTGAAGAAAACAGGGAAGTGAAAAGGTGAAGATTGTTTGTTATAAACATAGAATGTTTTTTCCTAAAGGAATGTCTAAATTGATTTAACTTGGCAGTTGGAATGCATAGTAAAATGTACATTTGTTTTACATCACAGCAAGGCAGAGTGGAGTCTTTTAGTTTTAGAAAATGTTATGTTGAAGTCTTAAGGTGGAACCTCAGCAGCAAGACTGTTGCCAGGACCAGCACAGAACACAGGACACACTACCCTGAACAAACAGCGAAGGGCTGCTCCATCTCTAAGTGTAATGACGGTAACTTGTCATCAGCTTTAATTTTTAAACAGCCCTCCAGTCCATTTCCCTTCATTCAGAACATGAGGAGGGAAGGCTGAGACCCCTAGTCTTAATCAGGGCAGCATAGGTAGTAGGTGGTTTCTGAGTCTTCAGTGCTGAACAGCAGAGACAGATACACTCTTCAAACTCTCTGGGGAACCCCAAGCAAGGGCTGTAGGCAGAGCCAAGTGGAAGACCCAGTGAGGAGCTGGGGAAAGTGGCCAGTAAACTTGCTCCAGGCAAAAACGAAGAGGCCCCTGCCCCCTTCCCCAGGATCCGCAGCCCTACCGCCTTGGTCTCAACTTTGCTAGACACAAGTGGGAAGGCTGAGAGAGTCCTGGCCTAAACTGAAGTGCAGCAGGAGGGCTTGAGCAGAGGTTTCTAGGAGCTGAGGAAACAATTCGTCTGCTGGGGTTCCTTCCTTCTGAACATCATCTACTTCCCCTCAGTTTCCCTGGTTCTAAAGAGCACCCCATAGGCTACCACTCGACTGCAATCAAGATGACACATTCACTGACTGCAAAGTACGCTGCTCACTGAAAATATTTAAGGCTGACAGCCAGCCAAGGACTAGTTCTGCAACTGGAGAAGCATACAGACCTGTGGGCCCCTCTGGGCCAGCAAAGGCAAGTCTGTGCTGTGCAGAGGGAGGGCTGCTGAGCCGGGGGCACTCGGCAGCATGAACCCCCAGAGAACTCCCACAGCCCTCAGAACAGCTGGGCAGATGGGCACTGTGGCTAAACTAGACAAAGACAAGCAGCCTCTGGCAGGGGTGGGGAAAGGCTTGACATTCCCAAATTTATTTGTTCAACAATGCTTATCACCCTGCATTTGTGGAGTCTAGACAGGAACCCAGCACTCACATCAAAGGGAGGCAGTGTAGTACAGTGGTTTGGAAACAAATTGCCTGAATTCAAATTCCATCTCTGCTACTCTATGGGAACTTTGTTAAGTTAGTGAAACTTTCTGTGTCTCAGCTTTACTAGATGTTAAATCAGTTTAACAGTGTTTACCTCAGAGTTATTACGCGTTTTAAACACGATGAGTGGAAAGCACTTAGAATGCTTGTACATAGTAAGTATTACATAAATTTTGTTAAATGAATAAATTAATGATACAACAGGACTGAGAGACAGAATGCAAGGTCAATAGCTGAGAAATATGTTGATGTCCTTGGTCAGAGAGCTCCTAAGAGGGGTATGCCCTGCTAACATATTTTTTTTCTTTCTTTTTTGAAATGGAGTCTCACTCTGTCAACCTGGCCAGAGTACAATGGCGCGATCTTGGCTTACTGCAGTCTCGACCTCCTGGGCTCAGGGAATCCTTCTGCCTTAGCGTTCCGAGTAGCTGTGAGCCACTGTGATGGGGTAATTTTTATATTTTTTGTAGAAACAGGGTTTGACCATGTTGCCCAGGCTGGTCGTGAACTCCTGAGCTCAGGCAATCCACCTGCCTCAGCCTTCCAAAGTGTTGGGATTATAGGTGGGAACTACTATGTCTGGCCCCCACTAACATCTTTACTACAAAAAATGAAATTGAAAAAAATCAAAAGAAAAGAAAGGAGAAAGTGAAATTTCAAAGTGCAAGAATACTTGCTTCCCTCACCTGGTCCATCTCTGTGATGAAAACTCCCCATAACCCCAAACCTGGGGAAGCTGGGGTAGAAGCAGAGGAGAAAACTTGAGTCAATTTTAAAATTTGTTAGTGGTTCTGCTGAAAGGCTTGGTGGATGAAAAATGGCTAACATAAGGTTTTATTCTTTCAAATGAACTTTAAAATTAGCATAAAGTTCATATCGCCAAAACACTCTACGGACTTTTGAATGAAATTTTTTTTCAAATTTAAAAGATGAACCTTTGTTTGTTTGCTTGTTTGAGACAGAGTCTCGCTTTATTACCCAGGCTAGAGTGCAGTGGTGTAATCTCAGCTCACTGCAACCTCCGCTTCCTGGGTTCAAGCAATTCTCCTGCCTCAGCCTCCTGAGCAGCTGGGATTACAGGTGCCCACCACCATCCCCGGCTAATTTTTGTATTTTTAGTAGAGGTGGGGTTTCACCATGTTGGTCAGGCTGGTCTGGAACTTCAGACCTCAAGTGATCTGCACGCCTGAGCCTCCCAAAGTGCTGGGATTACAGGCGTGAATCACCGCACCTGACCGAGAACAGCCAAATAGATAAATGGAAATAGAAATGCCTCTGCCACTAGACTGTACACAGTTTATTTAAAAATTCTGCACATCATAATGATGATATTTCAAATCAGTGTAGGAAGGATAGGATGAATTTCAACCTTTTTTTGCTTTTTTTTGAAACAAGGTCTTATTCCTGTCGCTTAGGCTGGAGTGCAGTGGCAAGACTGTGGCTTACTGCTCACTGCAGCCTTGGCTTCCTGAGCTCAGGTGATCCTCCCACCTCAGCCTCCTGAGTAGCTGGGACTACAGGCATATGTTACCACACCTGGCTAATTTTTTTGTATAGACGGGGTTTTGCCATGTTGCCCAGGCTGGGTATTTCAACCATTTTAATAGAATAAATGGTATATGTAGTGCCACTGTATTCCAGTCTAGCCAACGGGGTGAGACTCCACCTCAAAAAAACCCAAAGGACAAAACCCCAAAAAACCCCACCCCAAATCAGCAAAAATGCTACATCTTCTCTTTTTTCTTTTTTTTTTTTTTGAGACGGAGTTTCGCTCTTGTTACCCAGGCTGGAGTGCAATGGCGCGATCTCGGCTCACCGCAACCTCCGCCTCCTGGGTTCAGGCAATTCTCCTGCCTCAGCCTCCTGAGTAGCTGGGATTACAGGCACGCGCCACCATGCCCAGCTAATTTTTTGTATTTTTAGTAGAGACGGGGTTTCACCATGTTGACCAGGATGGTCTCAATCTCTTGACCTCGTGATCCACCCGCCTCGGCCTCCCAAAGTGCTGGGATTACAGGCTTGAGCCACCGCGCCCGGCCATCTTCTCTTTTTTCTTGTGGCATCATTAGGAAAAGTGTCAGCTATTTTAGAAAATGTTGATGCATTCTTAGCAGCTCTGGTAAGAGGCTTATTAGGTTGGTGTGAAAGTAATTGCACCAACTTCAAATTTGCTATTACTTCTAATGGCAAAAAGAACCCACAATTACTTTTGCACCAACTAATACTTACGAACTTGTTATCTATTTTGTTTTCCCCCATCTACTTTTCAGGAATGAAAGATAGCAGCTGTATGAATCTGCGATAAGATCTCAGACAGAAGAGTGTTTCTGAGGTGGCCAAGTGCCAATATAATCCTTATCTTTCATTATGTTTGCTGCAATAGGAAGGAAGAGAAAGGTCTGTAGACCTGGTTTTCTGAGGTTTGCCAACAATGGGCGTGAAGGACTGGGCGAGAGGTGAGAGGCACTCAACAAAGAGCTCCTCAAGCCCGAGTGAAGGCCTGTATTTGTAGTGAAGGCCCGTATTTGTCACTCCTGGAGGTCAGGAGTCCTGGAACACAGGGGGTTCTGGGGACCAGCAGAGAGGAAGGCAGAGTGAAGAAAAACAAATGGGCTGAACTGTACAACTGCTTACATTAAGGTGTATAAGATGAAAAAAGTATTGAGATAACTGTGTTCAAAAAAAGAAGTAAAGGGCCGGGCGTAGTGGCTCATGCCTATAATCCTAACACTGAGAGGCTAAAGCAGGAGGATCCTTTTGAGCCCAGGAGTTTGAGATCAGCCTGGGTAACAAAGGGAGATCCCATCTCTACAAAAAATATAATTAAAAAAATTAGCCAAGTGTGGCAGTGCACACCTGTGGTCCCAGAGTCTCAGCAGGCTGAGGTGGGAGGATAGCTTGAGCCTGAGGTCAAGGCTGCAGTGAACCAGCCTAGGTGACAGAGCAAGACGCTATCTCAAAACAAACAAATAAAGAAGTAAAGGAGGGCCGGGCGCGGTGGCTCAAGCCTGTAATCCCAGCACTTTGGGAGGCCGAGGTGGGTGGATCACGAGGTCAAGAGATCGAGACCATCCTGGTCAACATGGTGAAACCCCGTCTCTACTAAAAATACAAAAAATTAGCTGGGCATGGTGGCGTGTGCCTGTAATCCCAGCTACTCAGGAGGCTGAGGCAGGAGAATTGCCTGAACCCAGGAGACGGAGGTTGCGGTGAGCGGAGATCGCGCCATTGCACTCCAGCCTGGGTAACATGAGTGAAACTCCGTCTCAAAAAAAAAAAAAAAAAAAAGTAAAGGAAGGAATTCATCTAGTAGCCTTCCCCAGCCTTAGGCAATTCTACCTACATCTAAATGAAAAGCACCTGTGAAAATCTTTAGATTGAATTAAACCATGAAACTCCATCCTAAGAGACCAAAGTCTATTGAAAAAGACAGAGAACACGGAACTAAAGTAATGTGAGTGCTTGGGTAGATCCTTTAGCGTTGGGGTAGACGTCCAGAAGAAAGAAGTCTTCAGGATGCACAGGTGCTGGGTGCAATGTCTTTGTCAGGTCTGCTTTGGTGATCCAGAATTTAAACTTCTGGCACGCATGGATCATTATCTTTTTTTTTTTTTAAAGATGGAGTCTTGCTCTGTCACCCAGGCTGGATTGCAGTAGCATGATCTTGGCTCACTGCAACCTCCACCTCCTGGGTTCAAGCGATTCTCATGCTTCAGCCTCCCAAGTAGTTGGGATTACAGGTGTTGCCATCACGCCTGGCTTATTTTTCGTATTTTTAGTAGAAACAGGGTTTCATAATGTTGGTCAAATGGTCTTGAACTCCTGATCTCAGATGATCCACCTGCCTTGGCCTCCCAAAGTGCTGGGATTATGGGTGTGAGCCACTGCATCTGGCTTTTTTTTTTTTTTTTGGAGACAGGGTCTCTACCTCTCACCCAGGCTGGAGTGCAGCAGTGTGATCATGGCTCACTGCAGCCTTGACTTCCTGGGCTCTAGCAATCCTTCCACTTCAGGTCCCCAAGTAGCTGGGACTACAGGTATGCTTCACCACTCCTGGCTAAGTTTTTAATTTTTTTGTAGAGATGGGGTCTTACTATGTTGTTCAGGCTGGTCTTGGACTCCTAGACTCAAGCAATCCTCCCCCCTCAGCCTCCCAAAGCACTGGGATTACAGGCATGAGCTACTGTGCCTGGCCTATTACCTCTAACTTGAAAAACACCATCCCCAGGATACTGCTTCATAACCTCACCTGCCCCAGCCAATGAAGTCCAATGTGGTTACGGACTTCATCAATCTCCACATGCAGTGGTCCTCTATCCCTGCTAGTTCCATCCAACAAACTCTTTCTACTTCAGGACTGAATAATATCCAAATTGCTCTTAGAAGAGTCATCTATTATTCTAATTTTTATGTAAACCATACTCTGAAATATGGGATACATTTTTTCCCCTAAGTAGTATCTGTTTCCAAGTTAGTTCTATGTCAACAAACAGCACCTTGTTCTGCTCTCCTCTGGTTCTTCCTGATAATAAACTTTCGGATTAAAAAAACCTGGACTGATCAGGCTGTGGTGGCTCATGCCTGGAATCCCAGCACTTTGGGAGGCCAAGGTGGGAGGATTGCTCAAGCCTAAGAGTTTGAGACCAGTCAGAGCAATACAGAGAGACCTCATTTCTATTAAAAAAAGAAACAAGATAAAAAAAAAAGTGGCCTACTGGCAGATATCATAAGCTTGTCGGCTCAGAAGTGACAAACATAGGCCAGGCACGGTGGCTCATGCCTGTATTTCCAGCACTTTGGGAGGCTGAGGTAGGTGGATCACCTGAGGTCAGAGTTCAAGACCAGCCATGGCCCATCTCTATTAAAAACACAAAAATTAGCCAGGCAGGAAGGCAGCAAATCACGCTGCCATGTGTGTACCTATGCAACAATCTTGCATGTTCTTCACATGTACCCCAAAACCTAAAATGCAATTAAAAAAAAAATTAGCCAGGCATTGTGTGGCATGCCTGTAATCCCAGCTACTCAGGAAGCTTAGGCATGAAAATCGTTGGAACCCGGGAAGTGGAGGTTGTAGTGAGCTGAGATCATGCCACTGCACTCCAGCCTGTGTAACAGAGCAAGACTGTCCCCCTACCCCCCGCAAAAAAAAGAAGTGACAAACACTGGCAATAGGACACAATCCGAAAGAATGATGAAAAAGACAACCTCTAAAAGTCTAGCCAGATATCAAAATTGCTGATTAAGAGGGAAATATCTGGTTCCAATCCTGAAGTAAATCCTGGCATTGTGAGTAAAAATTTTAGAAGACAGAAGGATTATCAAAGTTATTTGGATCATATCCAATATTAGATTAATTCTTTGGATTTCCAAGGGCAGATGAAATGATTGGCCTTTGCCTAAAACTGCTGGGATATCGCACAACTCAAGGGTCCGATTGATACAGAAAAGCTGCATTGAGAGAGGGATAACTTCCAACTCTCAAGGCCCGAGTTCAGCAAATATTGGCGGTCATAGACTGCGGATGGCCTGCTTTGGGGGAACTACTGGCTTTTAGGATGTGAACCAGAATATTCCCAGATCACAAATGTAGCCAACAACATGAAATCACACCAAATGATTCACACAACCCAATGCTACTGAAAAGAGGCAGCTTCCAGAAATCAATAGTAGTGGGTGCGGTTCAACTTTATTATATGGCTGAGCAGGTCTACTTGGCCGAGAGCCAGACGGTCCTTGGACTTACCTATAAATTCATCCATCTGAAAAGGTGAGGCTGGGGGGGAACCAGAACTATAAAGCAGTCTGTTCTCTCAGACAGGTCAAGTTGATTAGAATGCATAATAAAGTTTCCTACCGAACCCACATAGGAAGTTATTTTTAGCAGTTCCTTAGTGAATAATAGCAATCACACTTCAGATGAATGCCACATAGCTAGATATCCTATCCTTTGTTCAGGGTGGATTAGGACTCTGATGAGGAATAGAAAAAGGTAAAAAAAAAAAAAAATAGAAGTAGGATTCTAACTAGAGACAGAGGTTTTTCTTAATTCCAACCATGGTTCATTTCATTCTGAACATGTGTGGCTATAAGATGTCCTTTGTCCTGCAGCATTGTGGCTCAGACCAACTCTGTCTAGATTTAGATTAGTTCATTAAAGCCTCTTGCCCTACAGAAAAAGTAGGGCTATGGCTTTAGAATTGAATTTGTTTGGCATTTTTGGAAAAGAATTCTCGGAAGCCATGATGGCTCCTTGCACTTCCCATGTTCTTCTCTGGGGGAACAGAGGTTCTTTGTTTCCTCCTATTCCAACGGAGGACACAGCAGTATGTTTTTCTTCAAAGACTTTTCCAAGTAATAAAGCATTCAGTTCTTAGGGACCTCCCATTAACAAACTGCCACTAATGCCATTAATGAATCTTCTGCCTAAATGATGAAAGAATTCTATTTATCTATCCTCATTCCAGGATTTATTTATTTTTTTGAGATGGAGTCTCACTCTGTCACCCAGGCTGGAGTGCAGTGACACAGTCTCAGGTCACTGCAATCTCTGCCTCTCGGGTTCAAGAGATTTTCTTGCCTCAGCCTCGCATGCCACCACACCTGGCTAATTTTTGTGTTTTTAGTAGAGACAGGGTTTTGGCATGTTGGCCAGGCTGGTCTTGAACTCTTGACCTCAGATGTTCCACCCACCTTGGCTTCCCAAAGTGCTGGGATTAACAGGCATGAGCCACCATGCCCGGCCTCATTCCAGGACTTTAAAGCAACAATTTCCTCAAAGCCATGGAGTATTTAATTTGTTCTGCTTAATTATATATTATTTAAAAATGTAACAAACAATCACATAGGATCTCACAGAAAATATGTGGCCCTCCTCTTTGACTCAGACTTCTGAGGCACTTCCTTGAACAGCCTAAGTCTTGCCAACTGACTCCTTACCAAGTGGACCCAAAGAGCTGGCTGGAATTGTATATTTTTGTCACCATATTTCTATGAATTTTGTCTCTTATTCACCAACGTCCAGGAAGTCAAAGAGCTGGGGAAGAAGGGCAGGGTGGGGTCATGTAATTGGCTAAATCCGGAGGTCCTTGGTGAGGCTACATATAACAGGAAGCAGAACCACAGTACCAACCAGAGGCACCAGGATCACAGCCTGCTGCCTGACCTTCAGCACAGGTGAGACGGTGGAGCCTTCCTTGATGTAGTCAGAACATTCCACGACGGTCCTGCCCATGGGAGAGTCTCTGCTACAGTAAAGGACACTGATCTACCCTACCTGATGAGAAGTAAAAGACAAAATGTGCCTCACAGCAACTTTTAAGGTGCCTCTCAGCAAGTCTTGTCACAACAAGATAATCCCTTTTTAAGTAGCAATTCAATTAGGTAGTCATTATCATGGCATTTTCCTTCAGGAACCCCGTCTCCTATTAGTGAAAGGAATCACAGGCTCCTAGAATATTCCTAGGCATCCAATGCCTACGAATGGAGAAAAAAAATCAAAGCTCACACTCTTTCTGAAGGGTTTGTTGCCAGTCACGTCAGGAAGGTTTAAGTGGATACAGGGAAGAAATTCAATAAAATATTTATGCTCTCTTACCATTAGCATCTTGGACTCCAGTAAGTGCTCCAACGGCTGCTGCGGTTTCCCCAGACAAGACGATCTGTCCCCCACCTTGTAAGGTGGCCTCAGCCAGGGTGGCGACAGCATGGGCGGCAGCTTCGCTGCAGGTACAGGAACAGGAGAGAGGGGGATGTGTAAGATGAATAGAGGAATAGCACTGCAGCCAAGACAAACCATCTTTTCAACGCCTTCCGTGGGTCTCTCTACTGACTCCATGGTTGTGATCCTACCAGCAAATACGTGATAACAGTGCTAATAGATAAAGCCAAGAGTAATTTTGAAATGCTAATATTAATGGCTAGAGTTTCTTTGAACCTAGGTAATGTGTGTTTGAGGACAGAAGGCACTCATTATCAGTTTCTTCCTTATCAATATCAATTCAGTGCTTGCAAGCCATAGTGGAAGCTCTGATCCATATTCACAATGCAAAAGCCATTTTGGTTGTCAATCACAAGGTTTTCCTTTTCTCTTTTCTCCTTACAGTAACACAAGGCAGACCATCTGAGACTGTCCTTTTATAGCCAAGGATGAATGATAATATGAGGAGTTAGCAGCAACCTGGACTTACTCTTCAATTCATATTAAATAATAATTTGACTTACAGTCATGCTTTTCAAATACAAAGTAATGGGTGATTAATATCCTGAAAAGTCCAACTCTTCCTTTTGACCCACTGTATATGCAGGCAGGATTAAAACAAAGACTTAAAATGTAAAATTAGCACTGCAAGCCCAAACTGTTTGCCTCTATAAATACAACAAAATAATAAACCTCCCTACATTGCACAAATGCTCTGTAGAATAGAGACATTAACCATTTGTTTATAGCAAGTACTATTTTAGCAGTGTGTGTCTCATTTTTCTTTCTTTTCTTTGCAATATGCTTTTACTATATGCATAAATACCCATTTTCCTTGATCCTATGATGCTACAAACTATAAGACATACTATTATTTTTATGGGCCAGTAAGGAAGAAAAATTCCTGACAATTCTAAGATTATAATTTGCCATCCAAATTTCATGATCCCTTGAAAAAACAGGCAAATTCATGATCCCTTCTGGGAAAGTATCAGGTGTCAATTTGCAGTTACTCAGGGACTATTGAAAGTGGGCATGGAGAAAAAATAACAAAAATAAAAATAAAAAAGAAAGAAGTGGGCATGGAATAGAGATGGTGATGCCATTTAGTTAGCAGAAGTGGATAAATAAGCCAGTTGAGTCGGCTTTGCTCTGAAGCTGCAGACTTAGTTGTAACACGGCAGTGGTCTTGCAAGCACAGGCTGTAAGTGGAGATGGGTAAGAGGACAGGGACTAATCGGGGCAAACATGTCAGGGCTGTGAGCAAAGCCACAGGTACCAAACTCAGTAATGTCTCTTTCACCTAAGACAGTCAGCAGACATGTAAGACAACAGATATAGTAATTCCCCTGCAAAAGACCTCCTGGTCACTGTAAAGATTTTAGGAAGAAATAAAAGAAACCGAATGGACATAAAAGTCTCATTAAATAGAAAAATTTCCCCTTCTTACTAATTTGTCTTGCTTTTTAATTTTTATGCCTGTGTTTTACACAGTTATCTTTTTCTGATTATAAAAGCAATATACTTGTTTTTATAGATAGCTTGGGCAAACTCAAGTATAAAAGAAAATTTAAAATATCATAATTATTTCCCTCTAATCTTAACTACAACTTTAAAAAGATAATCATTGGGATTGTACTGTACAGTTTTTAAAATTATTTTGTTGTGGTAAAATGCATATAACATAAAATTACATTCTTAACACTTAAGTGTGCAGTTCAGGGATGTTCAATACACTTCAGAATGCTGTGCAACTACCGCCTTCACTCATCTCCACGACTCTCTTCATCTTGTAAAACTCAAACTCTGGACCATTAAACTTCCTGTTCTACCATCTCCCTAGCCCCTGGCAACCACCATTCTACTTTCTGCCTCAATGATTTTTTTCATTTTTGCTTTTATTTTTTAGAGACAGGGTCTCGCTATGCTGCCCAGGCTGGTCTCGAACTGCTGGGCTCAAGTGATCCTCCTGCCTTAGTCTCCTGACGCAAACAGCTGGAACTATAGGTGTGTGTGCCTTTGTTGTCATATTTAAGAAATCACTGGCAAATCCAATGTCATTATGTTTTCTTCTAAGAGTTTGATAGTTTTAGGGCTTAGATCCACAACTGTTTTTTGTCTCTATGATTTTGACTACTCTATCTCACATAAGCACAACCACACAGTATTTGTCCTTTTGTGTCTGGTTTATTTCACTTGGCAGAATGTTCTCAAGGTGCATCCATGTCGTAGCATTTGTCAGAATTTCCTTCCTGTTAAAGGGTAAGTAATATCCCACTGTGTAGAATATACCACATTTTGTGTATCCATTCATCTGTTGATGATCACCTGGGTGCTCCCATGTTTTAGCTATTGTGAATAAATAATGCTGCTGCGAACACAGGCATATAAATATTTCTCTGAGATCCTGCTTTCAATTCTTTGGGATATATGCTCAGAAGTGGATTTGCTGCAACATATGGTAGTTCCATTTTTAATCTTTTGAGGAATTATCATATTGTTTTCCACAGCGTCTATATCATTTTACACTCCCACCAATAATGCACAAGGGTTCCAATTTCTCCACATCCTCACCGACACTTGTTATTTTCTGTTTTTGGATTGTGGCCATCTTAATGGGTGTGAGGAGATAGCTCACTGTACTTTTGATTAGTGATGTTGCACATCTTTTTTTGTGCTTATTGGCCATCTGCATATCTTCTTTGGAGAAATGTCTATTCGAGGCCTTTGCCCATTTTTGAATAGAGTTTTTGTTGTTGTTTAGATGTTCTCTATATATTCATCAATCCTTTATCAGATATGATTTGCAAATATTTTCTCCCATTCAGTGGCTTGCCTTTTTCCTCTGTTGATAGTGTCTTTTGATGTACAAATTTTTAAAATTTTCATAAAATCCTATGTCTATTTTTTCTTTGTCATATCCAAGAAATTACTGCCAAATCCAATGTCATGAAGTTTTGTCCATGTTTTCTTCAAAGAGTTTTATAGTTGTAGGTCACGGAATCACTTTGAGTTAGTTTTTATACATGGGCATTAGGTAAAGGTCCAATTTCATTCTTTTGTATGCAGATATCCAGTTTTCTTAATAGTTTTCAATGCTGAAAAGGCAGTCCTTTCCCCATTGACTGCTCTTGGCACCCTTGTCAAAAATCATATGACCATGTATGTGAAGGTTTATTTCTAAGCTTTCAATTCTATTCCACTGGTCTATATGTTTGTCTTTATGCCAGTACCATACTGTTTTGATTACTACAGCTTTCTGTTAAGTTTTGAAATAAAAAGTGTGAGTCTTCCAGTTTTGCTCTTTTCTTTTTTTTTTTTTGTGAGACAGAGTTTTGCTCTGTCACCCAGGCTGGAGTGCAGTGGCTTGATCTCAGCTCATTGCAACTTCTGCCTCTGGGGTTCAAGCAATTCTCCTGCCTCAGCCTCCCAAGTAGCTGGGATTACAGGTACCTGCTACCATGCTTGGCTATTTTTCTTTTTGTATTTTTAGAAGAGATAGGGTTTCACCATGTTGGCCAGGCTGGTCTCAAACTCCTGACCTCAGGTGATCTACCTGCCTCGGTCTCCCAAAGTCTTGGGATTATAGGTGTGAGCCACCACGCCTGACCCAGTTTTGCTTTTTTCAATATTGTTTTGGCTATTCAGGGTCCCTTGAGGTTCCAGACATTTTAGGACAGGCTTTTCTATTTCTACCAAAAAAAAAAAAAAAAAAAATGAAGGGCCGAGCACGGTGGCTCATGCCTGTAATCTCAGCAGTTTAGGAGGCTGAGGCGGGTGGGTCACTTGAGGTCAGGAGTTCAAGACCAGTCTGGCCAATATGGTGAAACCCTGTCTCTACTAAAAATACAAAAATTAGTCACCCAGGCTGGAGTGCAATGGCACAATCTTGGCTCACCACAACCTCTGCCTCCCGGGTTCAAGCGATTCTCCTACCTCAGCCCCACTGAGTAGCTGGGATTACAGACATGTGCCACCATGTCTGGCTAATTTTGTATTTTTACTAGAGACAGGGTTCTCCATGTTGGTCAGGCTGGTCTCGAACGCCCGACCTCAGGTGATCCACCTGCCTTGGCCTCCCGAAGTGCTGGGATTACAGGCATGAGCCACCTCGCCCAGCTAACATCTTAATAATATTAATGTATTTACCTTTACCGAAATCTTTCTTTCTTCATAAGGCTACTAGTTACTGTCAGTACCCTTTTCATACAAATAGTTTTAAAAGCTCACTTTTTTCACTTAACATTCTATTTCCTCCATGTCGATATTCTCTGACATTTATTCAAAATGATAAATTAAATGCAAAATTAATTTTTCCTTTTTTTTTTGAGTTGTTTAGATGTGGCAATTGCTTTCATGTGGAAAAAATAAACAAAATTTAATTTCCAGGTTTCCTTTGACTTACAAGGTCATGATGACATATTTTACATTTATTTGTTTCCTTCATAAAAGAATTTGGGACATAACTGAAGTTGTGCAAAAAGCTGAGCAGAATCATTGAGTTCACAGGCAGCCCGTATAGCTGAGCTCATGCTCTCTGCTGACACACCTCCTGGTGATCTGGCATCCACAGCCAGTTATTCATAATATCTGTAATATGAACTCAGAGACCAAGGGGACCCTTGATCTGGAATTACTACTAAGGCTGTTCTTTACATTTTTCATGATAGAGTTTAATTTTAAAGAGCTTTGTAAGTATTTATTAGACAGACTTTAATGAATAATTTTTAGTACCTAAGGCCTTACTTTTTAATATTTTGCTAAGAAATTTATATTAATAGACCGGGTGTGGTGGCTCGCGTCTGTAATCCTAGAACTTTGGGTGGCCAAGGCAGGCGGCTCACGAGGTAAAGAGATCAAGACCATCTTGGCCAACATGGTGAAAACCTCTCTACTAAAAATACAAAAATTAGCCAGGTGTGGTGGCACATGCCTGTAGTCCCAGCTACTCAGGAGGCTGAGGCAGCAAAATTGCCTGAACCCGGGAGGCGGAGGTGTCAGTGAGCCGAGGTTGCACCACTGTACTCCAGCCTGGTGACAGAGTAAGACTCTGTCTCCAAAAAATAAAATAAAATAAAATAAAATAAAATAAAATAAAAAGACATTTATATTAATAAACATTACTACCAACTATTGGGAAATTTTATTAATTACCTATATCGGAGAAAAAAAAGAGAAAGAATAAATAAGTAAATATATGACCAGCCAATTTTACAGCATCCACCTGTCAATGATTAATGATACAAATATTTACACTGTGACCTGAGGCTTTATGGAAAGTAGAAAAGTATGTTCTTTGGAAAAAGCTGTGTGATAGTCCAAAGAAGAAAACTAAATGAGAATAGTTTATATGGAAATATGATCCTATAAGGTCACCTCAATGACTGCTTACTCCCTACAGTTCTTCTCGTAATTTACAATAATTCATCTTTATAACCATCAAAGATGACATCCTGCCCCTCCTGTACATCCTGAACACACTCTTGCAGGTTGAGTTTCATGGGCAACGAAGGGAGAGGGCAGCTCCTCAAGCTTGGACATGAAAGTGTACCTGCACCTCATCACACTCATTTTATGCTACTTGAAGCCCTAAAAACTTGAAGTTACTTTCTTTAACTTCTTTCTAAAATATGGTATGGTAGAAGAAAGGCTGAAAATCAGCAACACCCTGAAACAATATGGAATGCCATATGAGGGGTCCAATGCAATGGTGGTGACAGGTTGACAGGTCAGTACGATTAGTTATTCTACCCTTAGTTAGGGTCTTTCCATAGGGCATAAAGAAAATGATGATGCCTATGGCAAGTGGGGCTGTCATTCCAGAGCGATTCTAACCTTTCACACTCAACTTTATGGGAAATGATCAAACTAAATGATAGAAAAAGATTACATTCACTTAAAAGGTGAATGGAATTAAAAAGTCCCTGAACTAGACCCACTTTACAATTTTGAGACAAAAGTCATTTCAAAACCAGAGCTACAAATAAGAGGTTTCCATCAACCTTTTATCTGTGTCTAATCTTTACCTATAGGAAAGAAAAGCAGTTGTACCATCCCTGACCTCTATTCCAGACAAGAATTCTAAGTTTTCCATCCCATGTTATTGGACAAACACCAGTCTGTATATAAAGCCCCATTTTATTTTAATAATATGTCTAATTTTAAGTCAATAATATTTTCATCTTAAAGATTAAGAGCAAATTTTTCTTTCAAAATATGACTCACTTTTTAAAAGCAAAATCTTCACAACAAAAAAAAGGACATTCTAAAATTCCCTGAGAAGAGGAATTAATCTAAGTATATTTCCCCATAGCACTGAGTCACAGTACTGCACACAGTAGACACATAATAAATACTGTCTCAGTATTGACAATATACTATCAATTAAGTTTCCACTACTTTAGAAATGTAGAGTAAGTCTACAAAGCCATATCATGATCTCTACATGCAAGAACTATCCTGGCTATATACAGGAAATGGTTTTGTAGAAGGACATGTTTAAGAGGAACTACAAGTCCAGGACAGCTTAACCAAAGAACTGAAAATTCAAATTAATCACTGTCTCACAAGCAAATGATGACATCACTTCCTTTCCTCTTAGGTTGTTCAGGCTAAATAGCTTATACATATAAGCCATATGTATATATATATGTATGTATATACACACACAAATTTTTTTACAGCTGTGATGTTCTGCTCATTTGTTCACTTTGATTCCCTTCTCACCTCCTTTCCAAAAGTTCTGATTTATTCTTTATTTTGAAATTGAAAATTAACATAGTTTTTAGGTTTTTAAAGGACAATTTCTCCATACCGTACACTTGGGGTTGTTAGAAAGTCAGGGTGGGCTAAAGGCTGTGGAGCCCTGGGCCCTTGTTGTGACTTGCAGTATGAAACTCTCTTAACTGCATGGTTGAGAAACAAGTCTGTCCTGCAACTGTCCTGATTGCATTTTACCCTGTACAAGATGAAGAAGCCCCTCTGCCTCTTTACTCCCCAGCCTGCCATCGCAGGTAGCTTCCTCTCCCTTCTCCCCCTGAGCCCACATCTGCTGTTTACATTGCAGCAGAGGTGCAGGTGGTTATTAGAGAACCATGCTTGTTTTATCTCCACCTGAAACAGAGACAAGCTGCAAGAGGGCAGATTATGAAACTGCTTTGTCATCACAGCAACAAAGACCAGATTTCTCTGTGTATTTCTCACTGAGATGACTTCCAGTATTAATTCTGTGAAGAGGTTCAGAGTGCAGGGACGAAATGATTCTAGTGCATCTCATCCACAAGGAAGCAAATGTCAAGGGCTTGTGCCTTGCATCCAACCCTCCTGACTAAGACATCAGACCGTGGGTTACCTCTCGGGTTCAGAATGCCCTGATGTTCCCCTAAGAGTCTGCTATAGTCTAGTCTCTGCTGCCAAGCTTGGTTTCTTTATCCCCAGCAGAAGCTGCAATACACCAACCCCTACGACTCACTGGGGCATCGAACTACCTGATTGCAATGAGATTTCAACATCTCTTTATTCCTCCTCTATGCCACAGTGAACACATTCTCCTTCCTTTGGAGTAAACACTGTAGCCACCTCAGCTGCATCTGAGTTTGTTAACAAGCCTTCAGGGGATACTATTACCCTCTTGCCTTTAGAAATAAGCCCTGGTCCTTACAACAAAGGGAGCCCCAAATGTGCCTCATATTTTCCACTATGTACAGAGTTCCCAGGGCATACACACTTCACTGTAATACCCAAGGTGTTGGCTGCAAGTCGCAATGAAATCAAGTTTTGCTGGTCTTCAATGAGGGCCTGTTAGGCCCCAAGCTACAGTGGGGTAGGGGGTCTGAACTAAAGTGAGGGATGGTCTCACTTTGGCTATGCCTTTCAGGAAGTTTATCTGAGTGTCTCTATCAAAGGGAGGGGTAGAATTGAGCCAAGTGTAAGGAACCAAATAAGACTTTCATGTTACTGAAAAGCAACATGGTGGGTATATACCTGAGTGGGGGAAAAAAAAGAAATGAAGACCAACATGGCTCAATGGGCTGAAAAAAATGTTCTGATCACTAGGAACTAGCTGGGTAACTTTGAGAAGATGAGAGAGAGAGAGAGAGAGACATAAAGAGAAAGAAACAGAGAGAGAGAGAGAGACAGAGAGAGAGACAGAGAGAGAGAGAGTGTGTGTGTGTGTGTATGTGTGTTTCAGTTTCTAATTCCTAATCAACCACCAAGCCCTAGCCATACTTCCTTTGAAATGAATCACTTTACCTCCATTCTTACTACTTTAGTTTCTAAGATCTTAACAAGGCATACCTGGAGTGCCTCTTCCTAACTGATCTTCTATCTCCTCTCACTATAATCAATTCAGAAGAGACAACTCTTAAAATACAACTTAAATGATAATAACTATAATTCTTGAAGTGCTAACTATGGGTTGGACCCTGCGATGAGAATTTTACCTCTATCATCTCATATACATGATTCTGTGTGATGAGTATTATCCTCATTATAACAACAGGGAAAACAAGGCTCAGAGGTTGTGTTTCTCAGGATCAAATGGCTAGTGAGTGGTGGAGCCAGGATTCAAACCTGAATCTGTATGACTCTGAAACCCTGCACTATATAGCCTCATACCGTGAACTGTACACAAATCCATCACAGCCCTCTAGCATCTATCATGATCAATCTAAACCTTTCACTGAGTTCATATTTGGGGGAGGTGATCCTCCTTCTCTGAATTTCTACAATGTTCATAGTCTTTACCATACAATTCAATAGTGAGTTACACTATAAGTCATACTGTTTGCTAAGTGTTTTACTTAAGTCAGTCTCCCCTATAAGAGTATGATTTCTTTGACGGTAGAGTATATGCTAGAGCACCCTTTTCTCTATTTACAACCTTACCCAGTAGCGTGCTGGCATGCCATCAAAGTTCAGTGACTGTCAGGCACTAATAGCTGCTATGCACGAGAAGAGCAGCCTTACTGCATGCAAGGCACTGACCTCAGTTCTCCTAACACCCCTAGAAGGCATGTACTGTGATCACCCCCATTTCACAGAATAGGAGATCCTGGCTACTGAGAGTTCAAATGAACTGCTCGATGCCAAACAGCTTGTAAGTGACAGAGCTGGGCTTCAAACCCAAGTAATCTGGTGTCAATTCTCACACTTTTGACCATTAATTAAAATTGCCCGGGTTCATTAAAAATACAACTGCATCAGGAATGAAGAAGAGGGAGAATGATATGAAGCTGATCTTTCCTGTCAACACCAGGAGAAGGAATCAGGCAGCGAACAATACAATCGACTTTTAGAAACCAGCTCTTGGAGCAACCCATTCAGCAGCATCCTTCCTAACATATCTCAAGAGAAAAGTTCATTATTTTCCCCAATAACCCAAAACTTATTTATCTTGAGCTCACTGATAAGCAAGGGCAACACATTTTCTCAAAAGCAAGTAAAATCAGCTGCTTGATGCTTCAACATGGATGAATACCCCCTCAAAAATACAATTTCTTTTGTAGGGTAAAAGGACAATTAATCTGAAGCATCTTAATTTGTTCTGTATCCCTTGAAAACATAAAGCACTCAAGCCTTGTTGCTTCTGGTTAATGGACACAGAATAGGATAAAGGGGAAGGGTTGACCAGCAGGCCTGGGCTGGAGGTCAGAAAGGCTGCACTGGTTGTTGGGGCTGGGTGGTGTCAAGAGTGATGCAGAGATGATCTTTCCATCCACAGCCAGTAGAAGGAACTAAGCAGCAAACAATACAATTGAGTTTTGGAAACTACCTTTTACTGGAGGATTCCATTTCACATCACCTTTCCTAAGCACGCTCGAAGGAAAGAAGTTTAATTTTTCTCGGTAGGGACTGACCTATTATAGGCCAAACTACAATATCTTATGGGCTGAGAGCGTTAAGTTCCAACTGCCAATTGTGGCAAATTGAGATACATTTCTCTTTAAGAGGCCTCCACCCATATCTGCAGGGACAGATTTACGATTCTCATTTATTCCCGAACTCTTGCCACCACCTGTTAAGCGCCATGGTGACTGTAGCTCCCTGCTGCATCTCCTGAGAAGCTGCCACTGCGGCCTCTGCCAATGATGCCACTGCCTGGGTGGCCTCTGATGCTTGCGTCGTCTGGATGGTCATCTCACCTCCCTGTAACGTGGCCCAATTTTGTTCCACCTGAGGCAGAAAGGACAAGATTGTAAAAAAACAAAGCCACAAAAGTACAATTTTAAAAGTAATTTTTCTAGTAACTGCTACTTTTTGGCTAAATACACATACTCTTTAAAGTTAACATGACCTGCAATGTACAGAACAGAATTTTAAGCATGCTATCTTTTGCATAAAAAAGGGGGTATTAGAACATATACCTGAATTTGCTTGCATTTGCATAAAGAAATTCTGGAAGGACACACAAAAGAAGCCACTAAATATATTCTCTGCATTGTATGTGTGGGGTTGAGAGCAGCTGGAAACAAGCTGGATGGGAGACAGAAAGCAAGACCTTCTACTGTACCCTTTTTTTGGGGGATGGAAACAGACTCCCTCTGTTGCCCAGTCTGGAGTGTAATGGCACGATCTCAGCTCACTGCAACCTCTGTCTCCTGGGTCAAGTGATTCTCCTGCCTCAGCCTCCCGAGTAACTGGGACTATAGGTGTGTGCCACCATTCCTGGTTAATTTTTGTATTTTTAGTACAGATGGGGTTTCACCATGTTGGCCATGCTGGTCTTGAACTCTTGACCTTGGGTGATCCACCCACCTCAGCCTCCCAAAGTGCTGGGATTACAGGTGTGAGTCACCATGCCAGGACCATTATACACTTTTAAATATGTTTCTCAATTTACTTCACAATGTACACATATTTCAAAACAACATGTTGTACATGATAAATATATAACAACTTTTGTCAATTTAAATAAATAATAAGTAAATAAATGAAGTTTAAAAGTTAGAAATAGGCCATGGGAGGGGAAAAAAAAATCAAACTATACCAAAATTTCAAACTGTATTAAAGGGAATATGATACCAGTACTCTAGGCCCTTTGCCCAAAGGGTGTACCGCTGTGCCTATTTTCCTTGTTTTTCTTTTATTATTTTTATCATTACACAATATTTCCATGTAATACACCTATTTTCTCGTGTACCTTTGCAGAGCTATTCCCTCTATATGGAAGTATATTTACACACATACACCCCCTATTTCCCCTTTCTACTCCTTCCTCTTTAAAATAAAAATGGCGGCATATTCGACATATCTTTTGTATCTTGCTTTTTTCACAAACAGTACATCTCTGAAATGATTCTATTTTTGGAACATATAAAACTACTCTACTCATTCATGATTCTTAAGAATGGCTGCATAGCATTGCATTTTTTTTTTTTTTTTTTGAGATGGAGTTTTGCTCTTGTTGCCCAGGCTGGAGTGCAATGGCGTGATACTGGCTCACCATATCCTCCGCCTCCCAGGTTCAAGCAATTCTCCTGCCTCAGTCTCCCGAGCAGCTGGGATTATAGGCATGCACCATCACACCCGGCTAATTTTGTATTTTTAGTAGAGATGGGGTTTCTCCATGTTGGTCAGGCTGGTCTCGAACTCCCAACCTCAGGTGATCTGCCCACCTCAGTCTCCCAAAGAGCTGGGAAGCAGTGCATTATATAGAAACATCATGATTTATTTAACAAGTCATCTTTTAATGCACATTTAGGTGGTTTCCAGTCTTTTGCTAGTAACAGTGCTGTGATGAAGATCCTTATATACTACTATACTTTGTATATCGCATGTGAGTCTATTTATAGGATAAATGTCTAGAGGTAGAATTACAGATCAAACTTAGTTTTGCATTTTAATTTTTTGATGGAAACTGCTAAATTCAGAAACAAATTTTTTCTTTTTTCTTTTTTTTGGAAGCAGAGTCTCACTCTATCCCTCAGGCTGGAGTGCAGCAGCACGATCTTGGCTCACTGCAACCTTCGCCTCCCTGGTTCAAGCAATTCTCCTGCCTCAGCTTCCCCAGTAGCTGGGACTACAGGCACATGCCACCACACCCGGCTAATTTTTGTATTTTTAGTAGAGACAGGGTTTCACCATGTTGGCCAGTCTGGTCTTGAACTCCTGACCTCAAGTGATCCGCCCGCCTCGTCATCCAAAGCTGCTGGGATTACAGGTGTGAGCCACTGTGCCCAGCCTCAGAAACTAATTTTTTAAGGTGTAGCAAAAATTGCTTTCTTTTTAGTAGAAGAGAAATTACAAAGACTCTCTCCCTGACCACTGCAAAAAAACCCAAAAACAAAAACCATACTCTCTGCTGATAAGAGTACATGAGAATCCAGGTTTGCTAGACATAGCACAGAGTCTCTCAGTCTTGGCATGCTAACATTTTGGGCTGGGTATCCTTGGTGGTGGGGCTGTCTTGTGCATTGCAGGATGGTTAGCAGCATCCTGGCTTCTACCCACTAGATGCCAATAGCACCCTCCCCATTCAGGACAGTAAAAAATGTCCCCAGATATTGCCAAATGTTCCCTCTGGCCCGGGGTACAGGACCACCGATTTTAGCGTAATTCTTTGCATTTAGAGACAGTTCTGAATAGCTGTATCTAGTTACTTCAGTCCATTTTGCTCAATATATACTGGTTGATTAATTATCCACCCTCAAAACTGAAAAGAAGCAGGGGCGGCAAAAGCAATTTCTATTCAGAAGTACGGTAGTACTTTTGGACTCCTGGGTCTCAGGACCTTAGCAGTGCTTACTGCAGCTCTTGCTATTCCTGCTTCACATGCTGGGGCCTAGTGCCTAGTTATCGTGTGCCTGCCTTTTACTGTGTCCCAAAGAAAGTGCCCCAGGCTCTAAGAGGTAGATATTTTAAATGTCTCCTGCTTTAGTTCTGTCATCATACTTAAGATTATGATAATGCTTTTCAGAATGTTTGCCAAAAGCCTCCCAAAGAAAGAGACATTCTTCTGAGCTACCTTAGTGCTTGTCCTGAGTTCTCATGGGCAGTGAATTGTGCCACCAAGTCTTCAGGGCCCATCACTCCTGAGGCAGAGATATCCTACAGCTGCCTCTTAGGAACACCAGAGCTCTTGCTTCCCAAGGTTGGTTGCTTTGATCTCATTGCTCCAATGAACATCACTGCCAGTGCTGCCACTGTAAGAGGCAAGCTGCACTATCATCAATTCTTAGGTGCTGATGAGTCCACTCAAAACATCCACTGAAGCCGGGCGGGCGGCACTGTTGCCCACTGCCAGTGAACAGTCTTCCTCTTTCCTGATCTGCGCCTCTATTTTAGCCAGGCCCATGCTGCTGCTCTCCTGAGCTCTCTCAAGTCCTCAAACTCCAAAAGCAGCAAGTCAATATAGACGCATTTAGTTACAATTATATTTGCAGTGAAAATAGCATTAGAATGCTGCCATATACAGTATAATTTAAGAATGTTAAATTTTATGGCATGGAATGACAATAAAGGATGAAGAGAAAATACGAGAACAGAGGAAGAGATTTCTACTCAGAAACATGGCAGGTGATCAAGAAATCAGCTCAGGTGCTGACATCTCTTTGGAAGTTCCTATTCCTGAGTCTCAGTGTTTTCTTAAACTGTGTTTGCGCAAGCTCTTGTTGCACTTCCTTCCCATCTGTTGGGGGCTGGTGTGTAGTTATCTGTGCCTGGATGTCACCATGCCCCAAAGAAAGGACCACAGGCCCTGGGACGGGAAGATATTCAGAAGGTGTCCTATTAGCTACTATGCATTTCTGAGACAGGCCCACTACCATGTGGCCCTTCAAACTGTGGCTGTTCCACGCTTTCATAAGTCAATGCACTGAGCGTGCTGCTCCATCTGACACAGAAGTCCCATCCCTCTCCTTTGTTTTGCTGGTTTACCCCTCTAGTTTAAGCTTGGGGGCTACCTCTGGGAAGTGTTTCCTGAGATAACTCCACTCCCCTAAAGTCCAAGATGAGGGCTTCTCCTCTGCTGTTCTGCAGCACCCTGGGCTTGCTGCTAACAGACCCTTATGTCACTGCAATTGTGCTTTGCTTTTCTCTACTATCTACCTATGTGCTCCTTAAGGGAAAGGGGAGTCTTTACTAGCTATAGCACCTATAGTACCTGGCACAGGGCTCAAAAAGTGTTTACTGAAGGGATGGATGGAAGAAAAAATACTATTTATGTTTTTCCTACTTGTTATTCAGCCTGCCCATATTTAAGGTAAATTGACATTCATAAAAATGCATCTAAAATGAGTCATGCGATTCAAAACTGTGACATATATTGATGGTTCAGTTTAAAATTCATGTCTCGGCCGGGCGCGGTGGCTCAAGCCTGTAATCCCAGCACTTTGGGAGGCCGAGGCGGGTGGATCACGAGGTCAAGAGATCGAGACCATCCTGGTCAACATGGTGAAACCCCGTCTCTACTAAAACTACAAAAAATTAGCTGGGCATGGTGGCACGTGCCTGTAATCCCAGCTACTCAGGAGGCTGAGGCAGGGGAATTGCCTGAACCCAGGAGGCGGAGGTTGCGGTGAGCCAAGATCGCGCCATTGCACTCCAGCCTGGGTAACGAGAGCGAAACTCCGTCTCAAAAAAAAAAAAAAAAAAAATTCATGTCTCTAATGTTTTTGAACTTTGGCTTTCTTTTCTTCTAACAGAATTACATACACTATTATCATCAGATACTATTCTGTTCCAAATTGAGACTTTTCTGACACCTAATGCAATTAATATCACCAATACCTGGTCTTATCACACAGCAGAATAGATTCTCAAACTCATCTGCATCTTTCAATATGCCATCAAAATAAAATTTGTGTATTTTAAAATCAACATAGTTGATTTCAAAATTGGTTTGAAATGACTTCCTTGTTCAATTATAAATGTCTATGTAACTTGTTCTGTGTCACTAATTAATTTTTAACTGCTAAAGGCTAGAGAGTTTGTTGCTCTGTAACTACTCAGATTACTGAGTATTCTCAGCTCAGCAGGCCCCCAAATGACCCTTCCCATAAATGCAACTGGACGCTGAAGACAGTGTGGTAATGGTGAGAGCTCTCACTGGGAAGGCTGGGATAGCAAAATGACCACACGACTGCTAAAAGTATGGGTGCTGTTTGTTGCTATAAAATACTTTCTGTCCCATGGGAGAGCAGACCTAAGTATAAAGAAATAGGATGTTTCTACCAAGTCACCTGATACAACGTCTTCACTGGCATTGATGTGGCCGTATAGAGCCCACTTCAGGGAGATATTTGAGTGATTATAGTTCTTTTTTTTTTTTCTTATGGTTCAAAGGATACGGAGTTTCGCTCTCGTTACCCAGGCTGGAGTGCAATGGCGCGGTCTCGGCTCACCGCAACCTCCGCCTCCTGGGTTCAGGCAATTCTCCTGCCTCAGCCTCCTGAGTAGCTGGGATTACAGGCACGTGCCACCATGCCCAGCTGATTTTTTGTATTTTTAGTAGAGACGGGGTTTCACCATGTTGACCAGGATGGTCTCGATCTCTTGGCCTTGTGATCCACCCGCCTCAGCCTCCCAAAGTGCTGGGATTACAGGCGTGAGCCACCGCGCCCAGCCCAGTGATTACAGTTCTTATGGTTCAAAACTAACAACTATGTCAACATTTAAGATAAATCAGATGGCAAATGGAAACAGAATATAATCTAAACATGTCACTTTCTGATATAACCTAGGCTTTCTCTCTGTCATTTTCATTTCACTCTAAGTATAGGAAGAGTATTTTCTTTTCATCTTACTGAATCCAGGTATTTACCAAAAGGCTATAAAAACTTTATATATGTCATTCACCAACCTCCACAATAGCTGGCTTAACAATGATGTTGGTATGCCAGAAAAGCCACAGATATGCAACTGAGATTTTAAAAATATTTTCTATGAATATCTGAATACATTGATTACTTTTGTATCTTATTTAGCAAAGTATATTTCATGGACTTAGTCCCAGAGAAGTGTTTAAGAAACACAACTCTGGCCAGGCTTGGTGGCCCATGCATGAAATCCCAGCACTTTGGGGAGGCCGAGGCAGGCGGATCACGAGGTCAAAAGATCGAGACCATCCTGGCCAACATGGTGAAACCCTGTCTCTGCTAAAATACAAAAATGAGCTGGGCGTGCTAGTGCACGCCTGTAGTTCCAGCTACTCGACAGGCTGGGGCAGGAGAATTGCTTGAAACCAGGAGGCGGAGGTTGCAGTGAGCCGAGATTGCACCACTGCACTCCAGCCTGGTAACACAGCAAGACTCTGAAAAGAAACACAACTCCATAAATACATTATACATATTATGTGTCAAAAAAATTTTTTTAAAGGAAATACAAACTTACTTTCTTTAAATAGTGCCAGGAAACATTCAGTAGAGAGATATGGTTGATAACTTTAAGCCAAACACAAACAAATCTCCTAACTGTACCCCTCCTTGTCTTTCCACCTCTTTCAGACTTAAAGGAGTGTCATCGCGTTTAGTGTGCCAGGACTGACAAATCCTTTGCTTTGCTAATCCATATCCTTTAATGATGTTTTTATACTTAGAAAATAAATGTCCTGTCAACCTTCACCTTTCCTCACCCAATAACCAAGTTTTTCAGTGTCCTAAACTTTCCCAGGCTTCTTAGGTACAAAGGAGGCACACACACTTTGCAGCATCCCTTACAGCAGGGCTAGAGTTCATTTATGTAGACATCTCTCTTCCCCACTAGACTGGAGTCCCATGACAGCAAGGATCCTGTGCGAATCAACTCTACACAGCTGCTGCTACACAGGGGCTTAGTACGTGCAGGCTGGCCCAGGAGCCTGCAGTGCACTCTCCCTCCATCTCCCAGCCATGCGGCCTTTGCCAGTTCTCCCCTTCTCCTGAGGAGCACAAATGAAAGTGACTTTGTGGTGTTCTAAGGGGAAATGCTCCATGGCTCTCAGCAAGGGTGAGATAATACTCTTAGCTTTATTCCTGATACTGCTCTTTGACATCTGTTGTCTGTTTTTCAAACTTCAGGACACCACACCTGTATCTTCAGGGGGAAACACTCATGGTGATGTTAACAAACCCCTTCCTTCACTTGTTGAATCTTACCAATGGCTCAGAGACTAGATAACGTTTTTCTCAATGTGTTATCCAGCTTCAACACTGCTCTGACTTTGGGCAAATCACCTAAGCTCAGCATGTTTCAGTTTTCTCATCTTTAAAGTGAAGATGATAACAGAACTTGTACTCCATAGGGTCGAGTGTTTAGCCCACCAAGTGATCAATAAAGGTTGGCTGTCTTTAGGTTAACGCCCCATAATTACCCCAATTTTGGTAAGGACGGATTCTAAGAAATCTTTTCAAAGGCATAAATCACGTTACTGACTTGCAAATATGTTTTTCCCTTCAAAGAAGGTTTCCCTTAGGCAGTTCCAGTTTTAATGCACCATTTTTGTTTCATAAAAACCAAAGATGAAATTCTTTGGGATTCACAGCATAAAAATATTAAAGGGATAATCTCTCTGTATTGCGTATCATATCAAACACTATACATTCAAATGTAAAATTTTAAGTTCCTGACAGTTTGAGTCATAATGATCCATGAATCTTGACTGTTACAAGTAATACACATAGCATAAGACACTTTCCAAAACTTTCATGGTCTGATGTTTCAAAAGGTTTAAATGAAAGAGTGCTGCAGACGTTCAGACTACTCCATCTTCTGGATCCTTGCTTCTCCCTCATTATACATTCAAATATTTAAGAAGATGCAGATAGCATCCTCTTCTTACCTCTCCATCAGCCACGGCAGAATAATTCACTTGGGCAACAGTGACTGTGGTTGGCAATTCTGAAGCATCAGCCAATGTGGCTACTGTTGCCCCTGTACCAACCTAAAGAAAAATATGGAAAGTGGTAAGTGTCAGTGGATGGATCCTTCTACCTCTCCTTTACTCAGAAGCTAAGACTCATTTAATCCCAAATTCAGCACAGATAACAATAAATATGCCTTATGATGTGAAGTCTAAAATCAGAGCTCACTAAAATTATAGCTCATAGACTATCACAAGTTTCAGGATTTTACTTCAACCAAATAAGTTAATATTAGAAGAGCTATCACATCACCACATCCATGTCCACTGCTGGTCAACCAACTCTTACTCTCACCCCAACCTGAACTTTAAAGGTTCGCAATTGACAAATTGTGTTTTGCCTGGCATGGTGGCTCACGTCTGTAATTTTAGCACTTTGGGAGGCTGAGGCGGGTAGATCATGAGGTCAAGAGATTGAGACCACCCTGGCCAACGTGGTGAAACCTCGTCTCTACCAAAAATACAAAAATTAGCTGGGCATGGTGGTGCGCACCTGTAGTCCCAGCTACTGGGAAGGGTGAGGCAGGAGAATTGCTTGAACCCAGGAGATGGAGGATGTAGTGAGCTGAGATCGCGCCACTGCACTCCAGCCTGGCAACAGAGCAAGACTCTGACTTAAAATAAAAAAAATAAAAAACAAAAGAATTGTGTTTTACCTCAGAAGAGGTAACTCAGAAGGAATATTCCCTGATCATTAACTAATATTCCCTGAAACTGTAAAACAGAAGTCATTTTAAGGCTGGGTGTAGTGGCTCACATCTATAATCCCAGCACTTTAGGAGGCTGAGATGGGAGGATTGCTTGAGCTCAGGAGTTTGAGACCAGCCTGGGCAACATAGCAAGGCCTTGTCTCTACTAAAAAATAAAATACAGAGAGAGATCCTGTTTCAAAAAAAAAAAAGCCCTTTAAAAGTGCTTTGTTTTGGAAATGTTCATGAAAGCTACTCACAGCTCTGTATTTAGCAAATGCAAAGAATTTAAACTATTCTTCAGAAATCAATTTCAGGTAGGAAGATCTTGAGGAGCTATATAAAGTTCATACAAGAGTTCGCACCAAGGAAACTTTCCCCAGTCTGAGGTGAGACGCCCACTGATCCACCTCAGAAACCACAGTCTCGTGGTCCTCAGGTTTACTCACCTGGATAAGCGAGACAGTGCCATCAGGGTTACTAAAGGTCTGGACTACAGTCTGGGACGGTACAAGATGAGCTATACTGTGTGTGGCTGTGGCCTGTGTTTGCGTTTGCTGGTCTTCAAAGGCATACAAAAGGTCTTCCCGCCCATGCTGTTTATAACAGTTTTTAACTATGGTCCGTAGTGCCTGGGTCCATGAAACCTGTCACCGAAAGACCGGAAAAGTGCATTAAGCCACAAAGAACTTTGGTTATTTAGTCCCAATATGTAATAAGCAGCTACTCCTTTATCAAATCAAACCAAACCAAACTGAAACTCTCCGAAGATTATTTCCCACAGACTGGTTCTGGTAGAAAGAAGCTGAGGACAAAGTATCAAAGAAGGCTTCCCGTTGGTTTCTTCTTGATCAAAGTCTGGTTTACACTCTATTCCAACCTGAGGCCAAAACTCTTAAACTTCTTACAAAAAAAGATTATTCTTTTTTTTTTGTTTGTTTGTTTTGAGATGGAGTTTCGCTCTTGTTGGCCAGGCTGGAGTGCAGTGGTGTGATGATCTCTGCTCACTGCAACCTCCACCTCCTGGGTTCAAGCGATTCTCCTGCCTCAGCCTCCCGAGTCGCTGGGATTACAGGTGCCCGCCACCACGCCCAGCTAATTTTTGTTACTTTTAGTAGATATGGGGTTTTGCCATGTTGGCCAGGCTGGTCTCAAATTCCTGACCTCAGGTGATCCACCCGCCTCGGCCTCCCAAAGTGTTGGGATTACAGGTGTAAGCCACTGCACTTGGCCAAAGAAAGATTATTCTAATAAAGAATGGCATACTAATTCTCAGTAAACCTCCAAGCTAAATGAAAAATAAATAGGGAAAAAAGTAAGAAATGGTATGTAGTTTAATCTTTCTTCTAAAAGTTTTGCTATTAGCAGGCTCATCTGGCAGATTTCATATCCCTCTAATTCCTTATTTACATTTTTCAATTATTTTTAGTACCCAGAAATAAGAGCATTTCTAAGTGTTCAAAGTGATTAATAATTTTACTTCAAGTTTCTTTGACTTTCCCAAGCACTTCATAAAATTAAAGCTGCTCCACAGGCCAGGCATGGTGGCTCATGCCTATAAGCCCAGCACTTTGGGAGGCCGAGGTGGGTGGATCATGAGGTCAAGAGATGGAGACCATCCTGGCCAACATGGTGAAGCCCTGTCTCTACTAAAAATACAAAACTTAGCTGGGCTTGGTGGCGTGCACCTGTGGTCCCAGCTACTCAGGAGGCTGAGGCAGGAGAATTGCTTGAACCCGGGAGGTAGAGGTTGCAGTGAGTCAAGGCTGCACCACTGCCCTCCAGCCTGGGTGACACAGCGAGACTCCATCTTAAAAAACAATAAAAACAACAACAAAACTGCTCCAAAGGCAACCCTGAAGACGCAGTGTAAATTCATGGACTCATCCCAGTCTTCTCTTTATAGTATAGTGATGGAGCGACAAATGGAAAAGGCTATAAATCAAAAAACATCAATCTTTGGAGGGACAGGCTAACCGATTACACAAAGACTTTATAGCACAAGATGTAGAAATGACAAAAATTGAGGCGGTTAATTTAGGATAGAAAAGCAACCAGGCAACTCAGTCAGAGGAACTCTCACCCTCTGCTTTTGTTCTTCTGTGCGAACATCACTCCGGACATTTGCCCAGGGGATATCTTCAGGCCACCAGATGGGCTTGCAGCTTTCTTTCCCCCAGCCTGGTTTTCCCCGACCTGTGGAGTACTTGAGCATCTCTGGGATAAATGCCCGAAGCTGAGCCTGGAAGAGAACAGTATGGGCATCAGTACTCACGAAAGATATCTGGGGTGTGTTTACGACTCCTTAAATTCTAACCTTAAACAACAGAGAGGTTTCCAGGAAGGTCCTAGAGAATTCTGAGATATGACTGATGAAAACCCACTGTTTTCCATAGGCTCCTATAGCTCTATAGGTGGTTGAGAATTATAAATATGTTGGTAAAGTGCACCTTAGGCTGCATTTTGTAGACTTTTTCCTGTAAGAGTAAGAATATCTGACCCTAAGTTTAATTTTTAATTTCTGCTTCCCAAGATATTACTGGTACTGTAGCTCATTTCCCTTCTACAGTTTCCATGCATCTTGTAAGGTGCCAAGCTCAGGGTGTTTTCAACACTGTTCTGGAAGTAGGAATCAACGCAATTAGATAAGAGAGCAATAACAGCTGAGCAGATAAAATCATCATTATTTATAGGTGAAGTCACCTTATGTCTAGAGAATCTCAAAAAATCAAATGAAAACCTACTATAAACAATAAGAGAATTCAGTAAGGTGGTTGATTATAAAATATATGAAAATAAACAGACCTTTAACTTTTTAAAAAAAATGGAAAATAACCCTAAAACTCTTCTAGAAAGTTTCTAGTAAGCTAGGCCATTGTCCACGAGTCTGACATATAGATAGAGTAGAGCATGTGCAAATTTAAATGCATTATTGACTTCATTCAGATTTATTTTACAAATCAAATCCAGACCAAACAGGCTTTAAACCACAAAGACTGCCATTCTTACTTCCTGGCATAGTAACCACACTGCGTGTGTGTTGGGGGTCGGTCTACTTTGTGAATATTCTTAATTGCTGATAATGATTTTTGGCAAGAAAAGCAGTTTATCAAGTTATGATCTGTGCCTCTTTCCCAGACCTCCTGCTTTCCTTTTAACCTGGTGGTCTACAGCACCCCAGAGATAAGTAGCATCCTGCAACGAAGGATGCATCTACACTGCCCCTGCAGCTGAAAACCAAAGAGGCCACTTTCAGCAATGAGTCACACTTAGGGATGTGGATTTGTAGTTATAAAGTAAAACAAGAAAAAAACAGAAACGGGAATACTTAAAGTATTAATGAGAGAATGAGTATACCAACATTATAATATTAAAGATTTCTGTAAATATCAGGTGTTTGTATAAATCTTATTATAATAAATATTAGATATTATTTTGCCAGATATGATACAAATTGTTATATAGTAGGGAACCATGAACCCAATCAGTAATATTTACCTAATGAAGTTCTGGCTGATGGTAGTCATGCCATTAATTCCTGTGCCAAGCCTGCCACTTCACCTCTCTTTCTAAGTCCCCCAATGCCCCGACAGTCTCCTGTCTACAGGATATGATATAATATACTCCATATATATTTGGCTCTGGCATCAAGCAGCAGGCTGATAGAAACGGATCCATTTGCAAACCCATCAGCTAGCTGGCTCATGCGGTCATTACTTCAGTTATTTTAAGAAAGTACACCTCAAAGTCATTTTTCCCTTTATCCTGATTTCTTGGGAGTGTGTCTTTTTCTAGCCTCAGATACACAAAGCAGGAAAGGGCTTACTCCTCACACAATATTGTATATTAATTCATGTTAAGAAAATGGCTTTCTGAGAGGTATAGATGAAACAAACTGACATAGACTTTCATAAACTCCTTTTTATTTGAATACCATTAACAGTTTCCAAAAAGGAGAATCTGTTATATTCATACGTAGGAGAATCTGGAGAAAATGAAATTAGAAGGCTAAATAATTCTAAATTAACAAAATCCTAAAGTGGGTTGGGTACAGTGGTTCACACCTGTAATCCCTGTACCTTGGGAGGCTCAGGCAGGCAGATCGCTTGAGCCCAGGAGTTTGAGAACAGCTTGGGCAACACAGTGAGACTCTGTCTCCACCGAAAATACAAAACTCAGTCAGCTACAGTGGCACATGCCTGTAGTCCCAGCTACTCGAGAGGCTGAGGCAGGAGGATCACTTGAGCCCAGAAGGTCAAGGCTACAGTGAGCCGTGAAACGAAAATCCTAAAGGGGGTAGCAGAGAAAGACCCTGTCTTCAACCAACCAACCAAAAATCCTAAAGTGGTCAGAAAGCACTCCCTGTGGAGAATACTAGCCTGACACAGTCTGCTCAGATCTACCTGGAATCCTGTATATTCCGTAATTCCGGTAATCACTTCACTTCTGACGCCTCACCCTATTTGCACCAATAGTTCCTTATACTCCTCAGTTCTGGGTCACGCTGGCACCTGGACGTGGACACCTTTCATCCTCAGTCTGGCTTTGGCTCTCCCACCCAGTCTTCCAGCTGACTTCTAGTAACTCACTGTTACTTGAAAGGTGGGTTCAGCATCAGCCTCCTCACTTAAACCCCTACCCTACCCTCTTTGCAATCTGCTTGTCTTCTCAACCTTTTTATCTTAGCAACTAGAAAACCACCCTTTCCCCAGACAAACTTAAAATGTCAGTTATCTTTATGTCTCTCCTTCAACACGTATCTAGTCATGCACTGCAAGTCCAATTCTTTTATTTTCTTTGAAATGTCTCTGGTGTCTATCCCTTCTTCTCCAGCCTCACCTTGATTCTAACTTTCTAGCCCAAAGCTAGTGTACCGTTCTAGTTGGCTTTCTCGGGGACTCCAAGTTCTCCCTTCACTCCCTCTTCCCACATATCCTTGCCAGACAGGTTTTCCTAAATGTTACCTACAGAGCTCCAATGCTCAAAACACCTTCGAATGTCCTTTATGGAAACTAAACTAGATCCTTCTGCCCAGCTTTTCAGACCCTCCACAACCTGGTCTCATACTACAGTCAGTTCCCGTGAATTTTCACCATGCAGCCTTGGTCCTCCATCAGACAAGTCTCTGCACTGTCTGGTGGACTGCTAAGCCCATTCCTGCTTCTCTGCCTTTGGTCTGTCCCCTTGTTGGACTACTTTCCATGCTGCTATTCCATTCTTTAGTGCCCAGCAAGTCCTACATTCTTTGTGGAACAAATACTAAGTATTCTTTCTCTCTTTTTTTTCCTCTCTCTCTCAATGATACCTTGCTCTCTGTGACCCAGGCTGGAATGCAGTGGCATAATTGCAGCTCAATGCAGCCTCAACCTCCAGGGCTCAAGGGATCCTCTGGCTTCAGGCTTCAGTAGCTGGGACTAAAGGCATGTGCCACCATGCCCAGCTATTGTTTTTTTTTTTTTCTTTTTTGTAGAGAAGGGGGTCTTCCTATGTTGCCCAGGCTGGTCTCAAACTGCTGGCCTGAAGCGATCCTCCTGCCTTGACCTCCCAAAGTGCTGGGATTTCAGGTGTGAGTCTTTGCACTCAGCCTCACTTCTCTAAAGTTAGCACTTTCTATCAAAAAGAATACCAGGGCTGGGCTCAGTGGCTCACACCTGTAACCCCAGCACTTTGGGAGGCCGAGGCAGGTGGATCACCTGAGGTCAGGAATTTGAGACCAGCCTGGCCAACATGGTGAAATCCCCTCTCTTCTGAAGATACAAAAATTAGCCGGGCGTGGTGACACACACCTGTAATCCCAGCTACTTGGGAGGCTGAGGCAGGAGAATTGCTTGAACCCAGGAGGTGGAGGTTGCAGTGAGCTATGATCGCTCAACTACGCTATAGTCTGGGTAACAGAGCAAGACTCTATCTCAAAACAACAGCAGCAACAACAACAACAACAACAACAAAGACCACAAGACTCAGAGTTGGCTCTGAATCCCAATTATCTCTGCATCTTAATTTAAAAAATATTAAAATGTAATGATATTAAAAATAGTAATAATAGCAAATATACAAGGTCAATTAAGAGGCTGAGATAGTATGTATATTAATAGCAGTTTTATTATTACCTCAGCCATCAAGCCATCTTTTTTCAGTAACTTCTACAGCATTCATAACTTTTGTTCTAAAATGTAGAGCTTAATTTGTTATAAAATTAGGTGCATTATAGCTCTTTGGCAACTGATTGATAATTCTGATTTTATAATAAGAAAAAACTGTTCTTTTTTTTTTTTTTTTTAAATAGATGCTTTAAGCATCCTCTCTCCAAATCTATTAAATAAAACTACTGTAAATGTAAAACAAATGAGGATTCAGAAACATCACGGCTTTAATCCAGCACAGTTTTAATCCTTAATCTGCTACAGGTTGAGCATCCCTAATCTGAAGATCCGAAATCTGGAATGTTTTGAATGTCACATTTGGAAAATCCCACCCATGACCTCAAGTGATGGGTCATAGTCAAAACACTGTCAAAACTTTATTTCATGCACCATATGAAATTATCATCAGGCTATAGTGTATAAGGTGTATATAAAACACAAACTTTGTTTAGGTCGTGGTCCTATCCCCAAGATATCTCACTAAGTATATGCAAATGTTAAAAAATATCCAAAAATATATGAAATCTAATGTACTTCTGGTCCCAAACATTTCAGACAGGGGGTACTCAATCTATACGAAGTGTTTATCAAAGTCAAAATATGACCATTTGCCAAAAAGAAATATTTCAAAGATAAACGACATTTTACTTTTAAATCAGGGAAAATAGGGAATTTAGTCTCCCAATGCAAAGAAACAGGAAGCTTTCTGAAGTGATTTACTAATACTGAACACACTAATGTACATAAAGACATGCATCCTTAGCTTTCAAGGATGAGTGTAGTGGAAAAAAGCAGAAGGTAGCCTGTATGTATCTGTGCAAACAAGGTTGAGGATGAGAAATAAAGGGTGCTGGAACCAAGAAGGAACAACTTGACCATTTGGACCAATTATTGCTTTGAAGCAAGCAAGCTACTACCAACCCACCCACAATGTACAGGAAGTTTAGGTGACTTATTCTGCTGGGTCCTCGAGCATTAAAAATATGTATTAATACAAGCAGCTCCCTCTTGCACATGTGCTCTTTCTCTCCCCGCAATTGAAAAAAAAGGGGGGAAATGTATAAGCAGATTACTAATGGAACATGTCAGAAAATGTGAC